TTAAACATTTCTGTGTTTTTCTGGGCTCACATAAATACTTTTTCTTCTGGGAAAAAGTGATATTCTGTGACAAAAATGGCCTGTTTTAAAACATAAATGTCAGCTAGCATCTGTAAAGTAACTTGTGATGAAAAATTCTGCAAGGGAAGAGAATCTTGGAACAATATGAGCTACTAAAAGTAAGTTCGCTCTCTAGGGGCAGAGAGAAAAATTCAGTATGGAGAAGTATTAGCCTAGATTCCCCCAGTAGATGTCGGGGAAAGCATTTAAATCTCAGAGGAACTGGAAACAGCACTGAGCCACTTATCAGCCCTGGAATAGGACAATTCCACTTTGAAGACCAGCCAGATTCAAAGTAGCATTTTAAAGGGAAGAGTGTGTTTTGGAAAATTGCCATTCAGATAAACAGAGACAATCAGGATCAGACAAAATATCTGATTTCCAAATAAAAACAAATAAAGCAGCAATTAGCATTTAGACTGGAAGACGGAGAGGACCTAGCACCCGTCATCAACGCCTAGCTGGCTTCTCCTGTGGAGACTGATCTACAGGATGCAGTGAGATGTGGTATTTTCTGCATATCCTTCACAGTACAGCATGGAAGTTGGGACATCTGTTGCTGTGTCTTCCTGCTAGAAAAAGCACTGATAAAAAGCAGGACTATCCACCCACAGAAAATGACTCAAACGGCTCTTTACTCTTTCCTTCTTTCACTGCCACTCTCTCCCCCATTTGTGTTTCACAACAGAGCAAAGCCACAGTTCTAGTTGATAGGCTTAGGGCCCAACACCATTAAATATCACCACCTGATTAGAGGAAGGTAGACTGTCACATGACGTGTCAAGGCTTTGGGTGTCAACAGATCAGCACAGAAAAGCAAATGTGATTTTTGTTTTTCTAAAGTGGAAAAAATTGTATTAAGCGTCAATCTGATGAGCGGTGTTAGACTCTATTTAAATCAACAACAAGACGTGGTCTCTGTTAGTAATGATTTCATGACCTAATTCCACTGCCCACGTAATACTAATGACCTTCTCATGCTTGCCATGGTCCTATCTCAGCTATTTCCACCACTCATAGTAGGACACTCTGCAGTAATTCAATATCAGATCAATTTTTTGTCTGATGGTGAATGACGACAGTGCACGTTAGACGTTTATCATTCTATATAACCCTCTTTAAAAGGCTGAGTCCAGTGAATGTACAGACCCAGAAAGGCTGAAGCAACAACGCAAATAAAGAAGTAGAGAATGTGAACAAGTGACACACTTTAAAACTGCCTCTTCGTCAAGCTCTGCAGCAGTTTCCCACATATTATCTATTTTCACTTCAACCAAGGGTGAAACATTCCACTAAACCCTTTAACTATTAACTAAAGTGCACTCCAGCACTCCAGTGTTATTCTCATCACAAGCAAAGCCAGACTCGACATAATACCACACAATTAAAGATAGATGAGACAAAGTGGCAGTGAAAAGCCTCCACAGTTAGTCATCATCTCATCGAGATCAAATGCCACGAGTATCGTTTGACCCGCACTTATTTTTTTTAAAAAGCTTGAAGAAACTCATGATCTTCTGTTTCTTAAGCTGCACTTTTTTCACAAACCCCTAACATGTGCACAAATGCCGATGTGGATCTTTATAATTACTTTTTATTGTTATTGCTGTGGGAGGAACTCCTTTCAGACAATTTAATGAGAACTACATGACGGAGCTGGCAACGTTCTCAGCGTGGTCTTGTAAACAAACAAGCTATGCAATGAAGTCTGTGTTTCTGAGTGACCCCAAAAACACCCTGTTTTGGCATTTCTGCGCTGCAGCATCTGACTTGTCAATGAATGTAGACTGGCACCAATGAAGGAAGCGCTCATGCATATACTGATAATCACCTGTTTACAAATTTCTGAAAACAAGATGGCATTTTCTAATGTAAGTGGCCAGTATTTATCTGTTGCTTTTTATCAGCTTTGCTTAGGATTACTTTTTAAACTTGCAGAAAGTAGGGCACCTAAACATCTGTTATTATCAACCCCGAATTTGGCAATCACAGCATTTAATTTCTTGTCAAATTAATATGGTCCTATTAGGAGGCGTGTGTCGCTAGATTAAAAAAAATATTTAAGGTGAGTTTCAAAGCGTTCTTCGCAGAAAACCCTACCTGGCTTTTACAATGTGTTCCTTGTGAACCCAAGGAAAAGGTTAAACGTTTGGTATCACACTTGCAACAGTGCAGCCGGCCAACGCTGGCGAGGTCTTGGACTGTCCTGCACATATTTGACATTTAAATGTCTGCCAGCCTCGTCGCTCTGCTTTGAATTATCTGCACGCTGCAGTAAAGTCAAAGCAAAACGTCGCAACCCACGTGGCACATAGATGATACAGAGACTTTACAGACTGCTTGATTAATGACTACAGTTAATACTCCTATGATCCTCTGCCACATGTGCTTAACAGCACAATAACATGCATTTTTCATTTATTTACAGTTTGTAACAAAAGCAAGTGAACGCAACACTGTAACTGATTTAACATAAAAGCAGCACATACAGGTACGCGCACTAGCTTGTTGCAGCCATCCTGGGCATCGGCGGGGATCGTGGTTGCTATGCAAACGAGTGACAGCAAAGCTGCAGCCGCATGGGGCACGGGCTGCTCCGCTAACGTGGCGATGAGGGGTTTACTTGAGGCAACAAGCTAGTAAGGTTAGCTGCTACCCAACGAGACGGCAAACCAAACACTCGGAATGACGTTACTATAACCACTAAACGAATTCCTTCATATGCTGCGACGATGGGAAGACTAAAATTACAGCGTGGATGCCACGAAAAGCGCAATTTTTTCCCTCATTTTGTTATTCAGCGCTATCAGAGCTAACTAGCCGTTAGCTCATAAAACATGGGTTAGTTGTATAGATACAAGTAACGTTGACTAAAAATAGCAAGTTGTGCTTAGCGGTGTGCTGTAGTAACAGAAACTCACTCTTTGTCGATCAGGGAAACGATCATGCACTTGCTCCTAAGCTTCTTTTCCAGTCCAGCGTCATAGCACGGGGCTGTATGGAGACAGCTGGGGGGTTTAGGGGGGCAGTAGGTGGGCTGTGACGGACGGTTGGAGTCGGTTGGAGAACAAGTTGCTCGGTTCCTCTCAACATGGAGAGTGCGGAGTGGACTGGATCCTTCTGCGGATCATCTGCTGCCCGTCACACACAGGGAGCTATGGCGCCACCTGTGGCCGTAGCAGCGTACAACACCAGCTGCATGTGACCTACAAGATAAACACCGGCACACATTTCCGCTTCAGATTCAGTTTCACGTCTGCTTACATTTACTATTGTCGAAAACGCTTGTACACAAACTGGGACCAGTCAAAACGGACAAACAAAACTTCATAAGTGGGAATTTCCTACTGACATATACATTATGTATTACGCAATGTGAGTTTTTAATGAAGTGTATTACATAATGTGAACATACTCCATGTAGAAAATAAAAATGTACAATCATAAAATAAGTTTACATGCAATATCAGATACTCTTTAGCTTTTTACTCTTTTCCCTGCCAGTGTATGTAATTTTGCTGTAATAAAATGACAGATGAAGAGTTTTACTTTTGCGGGGTTGATGTGTAGCCAGAGGTGGGCATTTGAAGTTCATCCAGATCACATATTGGGCATATTTTTATAAATAAAAATCTAAATGAAATTAGAAAAAATAAAGTATAAGATCTATACATGCTAATCTGGTTCGATCTCAAATCCAGAGTCTCAGTTCATCAAGATGTTGCAGAGAGAATTTTAGCAACAAATATTCATATTAGATAAATGTAGATAGTAAAGATAAAGACTCTCAGACTCAGTGAAGTGTTCATATAGCTTGGCAGAAAAATTATAAGAGCAAACATTTTCACACAATTTTTTTTATTATAAATGTATAATTCATATTTGCACATACAGTTAGGTCCATATATATTTGGACAGATTTCCCAGAATGAAATTCAAATGAAACAACTCAGATGCACCTTAAGTGCAGACTTTCAACTTAAATTTTTTGGGTTGAATAAAAACATTGCATAAAAGTGTGAGGAACTAAAGCACTTTTAACGCAATCCCTTAGTTTTAGGGTCTCAAAAGTAAATCGAGAAATTAAAAGACTGAGAATAAAAATTTCATTTCTAATACTCGAAAGCCCTTTGCTGGCATTGACAGCCTGAAGTCTTGAACTCATGGAAATCACCAGATGCTGGGTTTCCTCCTTTTTAATGCTCTGCCAGGCCTTTACTGCTGCAGCTTTCAGATGGTTTTTGTTTGTGTGCCTTTCTGTCTGACGTTTAGTCTTCAACAAGTGAAATGTATGCTCAATTGGGTTAAGATCAGATGACTGACTTGGCCATTCATGAATATTCCACTTCTTTGCTTTAGTAAACTCCTGGGTTGCTGTATGTTTTGGGTCATTGTCCATCTGCAGTATGAAACACCACCCAATCAATCTGATTGCATTTAACTGGATTTGAACAGACAGTATGTCTCTGAACACCTCAGAATTCATTCAGCTGCTTCTGTGCTGTGTCACATCATCAATGACCACTAGTGTCCCAGTGCCACTGGCAGCCGTGCACACCCAAGCCCTCACACTGCCTCTGCAAATCTAGCCTAGTCCAACCTAGCCTTTCTATTATTGAGACTTATGTGTGGCTTGCAATTGCAGTGGAACTCTGGATTTACTTTCTTGCAGTCTTCTCTTTATGTTAGACTTGGATTGGTTGTGAAGGGATTTTGCCATCATCCACCACTGCTGTCTTCCATAGACATCCAGGTCTTTTTGTGTTGCTTGGTTCACCAGTGCTTCCTTTCTTTCTCAGAATGTACCAAACTCTACATTTTTTCCACTCATAATATTTCTTGGATGTTTTTCTTTTCTTTTCTATTTTTGCATTTTAAGGATGGCTTGTTTCACCTGCACGGAGAGCTCCTTTAACTGCATGTTATCTGTTCACAGCAAAATCTTCCAAAATGCAAGCACCACACCTCAACTAACTAAACCTACTTCCTAAACCCTTCATCCAATATGAATGTGGATACCCTCAAATGAAAGCTGGGAGTCTGCACATTATGTCCATGTCCATTAACTATATTTGGAAAATGTCTTAGTAAACAGGTAAAAAGCAGAACTTGTGTCCAAATATATATATATGGACCTAACTGTAATCCCTGGTCTTTACATAGAAATGGCCATATTTAAACTGTAGTGAAAAAGAGTGGTCTAGTACCTTTGCCTAGATCAGATGACAAATATTTCATTTTCTCTTTACTGTTGTTTTATATTAAATTTCAGAGAAGGTTAGAAAAAACATCCTAGTGTAATCCATTATGGTGGATTTGTGGCATATAAGCATTTGAGGTCATTATTAAATTTGGATCACCCAGTTATCTTTTGTTCTATTTTAATTTTCCAATTGCAGGTCAGGATTTATGTTCAAAATGGATAAAAATCCAACTTATGGACCTGAGAGGCATGAGACAGAAATTATGTCGGGAAGTGGGGGAGAAAAAAGTAGAAGCCTGAGAAACTGCAGGCCTATTTAAGCTGACATGCTGAAAAAATCTTACATTTGTAGAAAAACAATGCTGTGTACCAAAAGTGGTCTTTTAAACCACCTCAATACTGTAAAAAGTCTTGCAGCAGAAGGCCTGATGTGCTGAGCTGTAAAACTGTCAAAGTCTCCCTGTGAAAAGCTTTTTCCTTACAAAGTAAGAAACAGACATGGCATTATTTATTCATCCGTTGAGGGTGCACTTATCTACCTGCAACCTCAAATTGAATAATTCAAAGGTGTAACACCTCAATCCTGCTCTGTAGCATGCAGTCATGTATTGTGTTGGTCCTTTTGATCCTTCCATTTGACTCAAACAATTTTGGAAGCTATATACATAATGAGTTTATCAGACATGCTGCAGTAGCTGTGACATAGTGTGCAGTTTGTTTATTTTCTGAGTAATGAGCTTTGTAAATAGATCCAAACTCACAATTGTCCAGAGGTAACATTAAAGCAAGTATATGAATCTTTAATCATATTGAAGCTGAGGGATTTAAACAATAAGAGGAGTATTACGCCTCTATTTTCCAGAATTTATAATCCCATTTCATATGACAGGTTAAAATGTATACAAAATATGAATCCTTGCCTTTTTCTATATATATTTTCACATTGTAGCATCAAGCATCATATAAAATATCCTAAAACCTTAGTAATTATCATACATATTTTTCATTTAAAACCCAAATGCTTAAAATAGCTTTAAATACACTATGATAAAATAAAAATACGTTTTAAAAAAATATCTACAGGCGTACTCTTTTATTGAATTATCTTTAAAAAAGTAAAGTATCTGCCTCATGGAAAAGCCTGCCCTTTGAGCCTGCACTTCTCTGGCCATTTTAACATCACAGTATTTCCATACAAGGATCGGATATGTAACAGGAAGTGACATAACATTACAGTTTCTGTGAGGAATGCACAACGTAGAAAATAAGGAAAAAACAATGGACTAAGTTCGTCAAAGTACAAACACCATAGATGCTAGGAACATGTTTAGTTTAATTGAGTTCCTGAGCTTTTTATTGAGGCAAGTAAAATTGCAAAAGTAAAATTGTAATAAAAGTATTGTATGTATAAAGAAATAATCCTAACAGTCTACAAAGCACTGGCCAAAATATTAATGCTACAGATAAAAACATCTCCATAGTAGACAGTGTAGAAGACAAATGCATCCAGTGCATTATTCACAATACAGTGCATACATGTGCAAAAGGCTCCTTCATTTAAACACATTGCAGAGTTCATATTGGCTTAAAATATGCACAAACAGACAGCTGAATTTCAGATGTCTGTCTTTTCCATTTGAAGACACAAGAGTGCCACCTATTGGTGAACTGGTGGAAAAAACTCTTTAAAAGGCACACAGTCTTCATAACAGCATTTGTTTTATACAAGGCAAAGGTTATTATAAGTTTTTCCTGATCAAAAATACCTGTACAGCATCCATCACACTACCTGAGCAAAAAGATCTAATCATCAGTGAGTCATATACAGTATTAAGAAGCATTTATAAAACATCTGAGCAATACAAAAATATACAATTATAGCAAAGTGTCCAAGACACATAATCCATTATTGCAGCTCTACGTACAGTTTCGTCCACTGTCAACATTCATAAATCTTAACAAATAAATATCAAATAATCTGAGTTTGAATCCAGGAAGCTAGATGACTGTCATCAAAAGCCTAAAAGGTATAAAAATAAATCCAGGAAAATGTGCTCACAGCCTCTCCTTCACAGATATTTGCTCAGTTTCTTTCTAAAAGTGAAGAGAGATGGAAGAACTGATGGACTTCTGGGCCTATGCGTTGTGGTATCCGTTTTTGGGAGCCCCCTTTTTTGGGCTTATGTTTTCATAGATTGCCGCGGTGTTTTGGTAGATTAGATCCACATTGGTCCCCGTTCTCGACCGGATGATGTCCAAAGCACACTGGTTTAAGAACACATACTGGTCCTGCACATAGCAAAAGTTCATTGAGATATGGCATATCACTCATCACGTCAAACAACACACTACAGTGAATGTGAACATTCCTACCTCTGTCTGCACCATAAGTGGTCGGTGCATGCGCAGATCATGAACAATGCCGAACACATCCACTGTGTTTTCTCTTTCAATCTGGAAAATCAGTCTGTCTATGGCTATAAAGGTACCTGTGCGCCCCACACCAGCACTAATCATAAAGAACATAGAAACACAGATATATAAAAATATATATATATATATTTTTGAAAACAGGTCACACTGGATAAATACAAAGTTGTGGGTGTATTTGCATGTGTGCTCTGTCAAACCTGCAGTGGACCACTGTGGGCGAGTGTCTTGAGTACTGGTTCATGTGCTCTCTGACTAAATGTCTGAAGCTGATGAGGAGCTCTGTGGTTTCTGGTACCCCGTGATCTGGCCAAGCTGTGAAGTGGAACTGACGAACTGCTCGGGTTTCTGCTGTTTTCACCTGAAGGACAAAACAGCGAAGCACCTCAAAACAGCTGAAGATCCTCAAGACACAATAACACATACTAGTGATGGGAATTCCAGCTCTTTTTAGAGAACTGGCTCTTTCTGTCACAATACGGCTGTGTGCAGGCAAGAGTAGGACCCAAACGCAAACTCGCAGAGACAAAAACTAAACTCAAAAAACACAGCTTTATTGCTGGTATGGAGTGGGACACGAAAAACAATACAAAACTAAACTGGGAAAACTAAAGCACAAGGAGCCACAGGGAAAAATCACACAGCTATGAGGGAGGAAGCAACACTGACAAAGAGAAACATGGGGCTTAAATACACTGAGGGATAACGAGGGGGAATGAGCCACAGGAGGAGAGCACAGCTGGGAGTAATTAGGCAGGACGAGACAAGGGAAGCAAAACTAGAAACATTAACATAGGACAGACTGTGAAAGTAAAACAGGAAACATGGAACAGAAAGGCACAGTAGACACAACATGAACATAACAACACCACAGGGGAAAAGTAAAACAAAATGCAGAAACACAGGACCTCTTTCAAAATAAAATGGGAAACATAATGAAACGCAAACATGACAACATAAGAAACACAAGAAACACAGACATGAAGCACATGAAGGACAAGGGAGACTTAACAGGGATTGGATACACAAGGGGAATCTAATAAACAAATGAACTTAGATAACCTAATGAACAAAATAAACTCAAACTTAAAACGCTGGGTCAAAAGACCCAGGATCATGACACTTTCAGCTCGGCCCACTACAAACAGCTGGCTCTTTCGGCTCCCAAGTGGCTCTTTAGGTTGTTTTGTTGATTTAATTAATTTATTATCAATAACAATATAAAGTTATGCACAAAATTAATTACTAATGTAAAAAATAGTGTTTTTTTTTATTTATACATGTTTATTATATAAATATACTTTTATTTATTCACTTCACATAAAATGTAAAAAATAAATGTTAAAACATATAAACATATTACAAAAAACAACTACTTACAATTCAACTTTTAACTATTTAAATTTTCAGCTTTTTCTGTTTCAACAAATTTAAAGTGAAACAACACACACAAAAATAGAGAAGATGCCGCCATTGCTGGAAACTGGAATTGGCTGGGCCGCGCTATGAATTATGGGATAGGCTGGGCCAATTCCAGTTTCCAACAATGGCGATAGCTACTTAGTTTTAATATTACTTTCTGGCTCACAAAATAAACTTTTAAGATAAGGCAAGAACGTAGTTGTGTAAACTTCAAATATCTGCTCGGTTTATCAAGACATCACATATTGGCAAAAGTGCTCCAACGTTTTCGGACACGTTCTTGCACCAGTTTGAAGTTTTGCGAGTTCATCTTAATTTTTTTTCCTCCCATGTCCCTCGCAGGGCTCGGTAAGAGAGAGGGAGGGTAAGAGAAAGGAAAAAATGAATAAATAAATAACACGGCTCGCGACAAGGAGCCGGCTCCCATCGTTCACTTCAAAGAGCCGGCTCTAAGACCCGATTCATACTCGACTGATACATCACTACCACAAACCTCAAACGGTAACTGGACAACATGACAAAAATGTGTTGCAAGGATTTATGTTTTAAAGCAATAGCAAAAGTGCCTTTTCACGACCCTCAAAGATACAAAGTATTAGTTATATAGATGTAAACAGAGAGAACTTCAGTCAACACTGACCTTGTTATTACCATAGGTTTGTTAAGACATTGGAAAGTTTAATAGGTAGTCTATTTTGGTTGCAGGAAGCCTACTGTAAATCATGTTAAATATTCAGGGACCATAGGGTTTTCCGATCTTAAGGTCTTTCTCGCTTTCCTAAAAATACTTCTGAAAAATTATAAATATTTATTACAAAAATAATTTACAAATATGGATATATGCTGTATGAAGTATGCTTCCTTCCCATTGTTACCAAATGCTTGGTGATAGGGGGTCGTGTAATTGTTGGGCTTTCTTCTATTATTGTAGTATATTTATCTTTAGCACTGACACTATATAGACAAAACAATATTGAAACCAATGTGAAAACCACTCACATTTTTAATGTCAAAGTCCCTGAGGGTCCAGTCCTCAAGTGTTATTTCAGAGGTTGCTTTTACAATGATGTTGTCACACCGCTTGGTACCAGAACTCCAATACTGCTCACATTTTACCTGGAAAGGAAATGTTTTAGCTTTAAAAAAAACCTGCAAACATTGTAAAAAATAACATTTACATTAAAAAAAACACTGTAAAAACATCTATCGTTTCATTTTACGCTATCATTTATTTTGTGGTGTCGCAGAATAAAAAGTTTAAGACAATATTTTTTCAACGTTTTGTGTCACTGCAGTGGCTATATTAATTTCTTAAAGTTCTGTCTTTCTCTTATATTTAATATAACCACACTACAGACGGAAAAGAGCATGTTTTTACGTGTTGTCGTAGCAACAACGACGGTAAAACCATCGCGTGTCAGCTTGTTTATTTTCCATACAAACCTTTCACAAGAAAGCTCAAGATCCTGTTGAGACCTTTCAAAATAAACTGAATCACGTGAAATAGTTTGCAGAGTGTTTACGGATGAGAAGCTAAAAAGAGCCGTCAGAAGCTAAAAAATAAACCTTAAAACAGGCTTTTCACCGCAGCACGCCGTGTAATAAATACTCACAAAGAAAACGGCAGCCATTACAACTTATGACTAAAAATGTGTAGTTTTATGCATCATTTTTTATTTCTCTACGTTTTTGTTAATACTCACTCGTCCCTGTTCATTACAGCGTGTCAGCATGACCAGAGTCTGCACATTCTTCTCCCAGATCATCCTCCAGAAATCGTTGACCGTGGTGGGTAAAGGACCTTGAGCTGCAATAAACTCCTTCCTCGAGTTGTAACCCTGCCAAATAAAATGTGAGCTCAACCACATGAAACAGCCAGTTGGATTTTTCCGAGGCGTTTTTCAAAGCAGAGTTTACATGAAGGCAGAAACGTTAACAAATGGCATGTCAAGAAGCAAAGTTTTATTGCTCAGTAGGATGCTTGCTGATGGTGTAATGACTGTGGCAGAGAGCTGCTTCAAAAAGTGTCAGTACGCACCGGCATGTAGTTAGCATTGATGTAATCATCAGACGGACTTCCATGGAGAATGGAAAGTTTCACCCTAGAGGAGTCATCTAGGAGGCGAACAAGAGGGTAAATGAAATGTAAGAGATGAAATTAAAGAGAAATCTAATGAGCATGAAATGAAATTAAAAATTATTATTGTTAAAAAAAGTATTAGAAATTATTTTCCTACACTGTTATGCATTAATAGATGCATGCTATTTTTTGGTTCAAGGCACAAAGTAAAATTAGAAAATGGTAGCAGATGATGTAAGGCAGGCAATGATGTTGTTTAAAGATTGAGGGTGTTATGGTCAAAGCAGCAGAGATGGATTTGTTAAAGTGACTCACATGGAAGCACATTGTTGTAGCGATTCTTAGGCTTGTTCTCCACATTCAGTGCATGTAACTTTGACTGAGCTGTGCCAACAACCTTCAGGTCCTTTAAAATACAGAAGAAAAAAAGTTGGTGTCTACATGCGGAGTACCAGAGAAGCAAATGAAACTTTTTCCAGGTAGTTTTTCTGTTTTTTTGCCCTTTGCTCTTTTACATTACACTTCAGTATTATTTTGGCTCATTCTGGTAACAGTAATTACATTTGATTTTGTTTCAGTTGCACCTCTCCAAGATGTCTCTTTTCAGGCAGCAAAAAGCTTTTGGAGCACTGTAAGTAATACTGTAAAGCTGTACCAGGAATGATTTATTACTGTTATACTGACATTGACACTGGTGAGTGTGTCTAGAACACAAATTGTTAAAATTAGAAATCAAAATAAAAACGTTCTACTATGAATAAGTATATTTACAAATTAAGAGTCAATGGATATTCAGTTTTGGGGATTTACCTCAAATTCTTCTGCAAAGCCACAGTTGGAGTCTGCTCTCTGCTTCTTGTAATAAGCCTCAAAGTCCTCCACACTCACGGCCACACTTCTGCTCAAACCAAAGTTTAGGCAAGAGTGACAAGGTTCGTTCAGGAAAATATTAACATTTGAAAGATCTGCTCATGTTGTGAGTTAAAGAACTTGTACTTACACTTTGGCTCTATAAAAAAATAAATAAAAAAATAAAAAAAGTAGCAATTAGAAAAACAGTTGTTGTCTAGGTATATCATGCATACATTACAATAAAATGACAAACACACAAATTTTACCTCAAAGATTGAATCTGGATGTCTGGTGATTTTTTTTTGGCTAGCCTACAGGAGTAGATAAAGTATATAAATTATAAATTTAGAATATATTCATATACATGGAGATTTAATTATCTTTTTTTATCACTGGTGATAGTGGCAAACCTTTTCCAGTAGATAATAAAGCCGATGAGGACACTGAAGAGAATGAGAAAAACGGCTACCGATACACCAACAGCAATACTAGTGATAGCTACAATGGTTGTAATGGAGAGATGAAGGAAGAAGTCATGAGACATTCGTAAAATCACCTTATACGCAAAACAAACAAACAATACTGTAGTACTGTACCTGGATCCTGAGGGAGTTTAACTGTGTAAGAAGAGCTTTCTATTACTAAAAGTAATGAACCGTGAATCTCCACAAGGTTTGATTGCTGCAGGGTCAGGTTGGTGAATAATACAATGGCATAGCTGCAGGATTAAACAAATCACTAATTTAAAAGATTTAAAATGATTGTGTATATACAAATATCTGTCATTTTCAGTAAAGGTGCATATTTGTGTTTATAATCTCTCTTAGCAATTACCAAAGGAACTGTACTGTAATATTTTCTAGAACATCAGCATATAGCGTCACTCTAATGCGTCCAAAATTATAAAAAGTCAGTTCATGTATAAACTAGTGTGACACAAGTAAAAAGATCAAATTAAAATCATAGTTTAATGAGATTTTGATAATAATTACACTGTTCTGTATTTGTGTTGTCCAGATTCTGTAACACTAATAATGTTATTTTTGTGTGTTTGCATTTTTTCTATACATAATCAGTTTTTTGTGTTCTTACCTGTATTTTTCATTGGCATCCAGAGGACCATTACTGTAGCCATTCCATTGGGATCCATTTCCTATTCCTATAGACAGGGCACCTTCACTACGTAACTGTGGTATATTTCTGCCTACAACTGTAGCCAAGTATGCTGGAGCGCCATTTTTCCAATTATTGTAAGTATTATTTAACCATTGGGTCCAACTAGAGGGGGCATCTGGAAAGAGAAAAACACTAAAAATAGTAACTGGCTTTTGACAGAAAAACAGTTGTCATGAACAAAATAGAATATAACAGCACAACAAATACTACTCTCCTTTGTGTTCAGATAAGGAAAATAGAAGGAAAAACCAACCATTCTTTGACACCAGCACACCAACATTTCTGATTGGTCCATTAGAGTCGTTAAACATCCTGGAATCAATCTGTAGTATGAAACTATTGTGTGTGACACCAATCGATTGCACTAAGCTGCCAGAATTTACTGGCATGGGCGGATCTTTGATAGGAAAGAAAGTAAAAAAGAAAAGTATACATAAATATAAGACTGCTGTATAAAGATATACTTTTATATATAAATATATAAAAGTATAACATGTATATATACAAGTCCTACAAAGATTAAGCAGAAACTTTTTACATTTCTGTTTGTACAGTGTACTATCAACTACAGATCAACCAACAAAACAGCCATAGACAAGTCAATGCATAGATGTTTTTGAGTACTATTAAGGAAAAAGGATTATATTAGCAGGTGGTATTTTCTGTAAAAGGCTTATCTATGTATCTCAAACTCTAGTTCTGAAGTACATTACAACACTAATATATTCTACATTGTGAAAAGCACAAAGCCTTACCTGTTATGCCTGTCAAGCACTTGTAATACACAGGAATGCTGGGATTTCCATAGCTTAGAGTTATTACAGTCACATTATAATTAGTATAGTGGTTAAGGCCAGAAATTGTATAGTTGCAAGAGTTGTTAGTGATGCGGTTTCCATTTACAGTCATTTGGAAGCCAGTGTATTGGCCACGGGGTGTGGAGCACGACAAAATAATTTGTGCATTTTTGGTGTTTGGACCTTGACAGCCTAAAATTGTCACTGGGCTTGCATCTGTAGGATGAAACAGAAATAAGGAAAAGAAACAGCGCATTTAAAATGAATTAATCTGTCAATTCTATTGAAGTTGAGCAATAATATCAAATATCTAAAGAAAATACAAAATCTGGGCTTATTTGTCAAAAACTGATTTTTCAATTTATTATCTTGGATAGGTTTTGGTCTGAGTGGAATTAAAAATATGTCTTTCATATGTAAAACACAGATCAAAAAAAGAGGATAGATGACAAAACTTGAATTAATATCTAGTGTCCGTACTTGTGCATCCGGTGATCATTACTGGTGCACCCTGTGTTTTATCACAGGTCTCTGCGGTGACTTCGATACCATAGCACTGACCAGGATCCAGATCAGTGATATTATACACAGTTTGTGTAACTGTGAAGTTCTGCATTTGGGATTTAGTTTGATTCCAGGACAAAAAGTATTTATAGCATTCCTTGTAGTGAGGTGGATTTTTCCAATTGACTGTGATGTATGTCTCTCCTGGAATGGCCATGAGCTCCTGCACTGCCAGTGGTCCTGTCAAATATTTGAAAGATGTAAAAGTTAATCAATAAAGAAAAGATGGACATGTCAGTGAAACTGTAACACTAACGATCATCCATCCTGGATGAAGATGAAAGTGATTAGAAGTGACCACTGACTATGTAAACTAAGATATAAGAGGACTGAAAAAAGTGTGACATCAGATGACACACTGCTAACATCCATCTGACTCAAAAGACAAACATCATCTAAATATCAAAAACATTTTAAACTTATTAATTGTGAGGAAAATGCCACAATATAAGTAATTGTTTCACCTTAAGCAATGAAATAAAATTAAACAAAGAAGAAATCAAATAGATTCAAAGAAAAAAAGTGTTTT